CCGGCTTCCCAGCCAATCAGGAAGCCGGGTGGCGAGTAATGACCCACTGCCCAGCTTCCTGTTTGGCCGGCTTGATTGTGATTGGCCAGGAAACCTGCTTCCCAGCCAATAAGCATCGAGCCGGCTTCCTGATCGCACGGGAAGCTAGCTCCATGTTCCCCTACAGAACTGCCAGTCAGAGGAAATCTTCCTCTGATCGGAAGTTCCAGTATCAGGGAAAGTATTGGAGCATTTGGGCCAGTACGAGTACTTGCTCAAATATTCAGTATCGGCACTGATACTAGTATCGGCATCGGTGCATCTGTATAACAAAGTACACCTATTATTTATTTATTTTTTGCCCCCCCACCTGACCTAAATGATCCCATTCTTCCCCTCTGCAGATCCATGTTTGCCGAGATCCAACGGGTGCGGTTCGCGTATTGTTTACATCCAGCGCCACAATGCATCCTCTGCTGGCCACTCCTGCACATTTCAGCCCCATAGACTTCTGTGGGGCAGTCTCGCAGCCAAGAGCCGGAGACTTGCAGAACTGTATGTTAAAGAAGTACTCCGGGCAGACATTTTATTAACCCTTGCAGTGAGCTACCCCCACACTGCAAGAGTTAACTGCTCGTTTTTGCTCATTTTTATACTCTCCCGATCCTCGGAGCTGGCAGCTCTCCCTCCATCCTGTCTCCTCTTCCGCTGCAGCAATAGTATGTTCCTCTGCATCCTCACATCCTATAAATGTATAAAACGTGATGACTCAAGGATCCTTAAACCACTGCAGTGGAGGAGGGAGACACTCCTGGGACCAGTCTGAGAGCCAGCCAGCTCTGAGGATTAGGGGGGTGGGAGTATAACTATAACTTTTTTTTTTTTTGACCCAGCAGTACCTCAGCACACTCACAAACACTGCTGTTTTTTAACAGAAATTCAAGACAAAAGGTACATTTTTCAGGCTGCTGCTTAGGCACAATTACTGCTTCTAGATGTTCCATATTGCTTAGCAAATCTTCACTTTTTAAGTCCAGGTCCACTGTAACTCGGGTTTCATTATACATTTGCCTCCTCCGAAACACAGTATATGTTTATAATGACAAGCATTTGCATGTAGCGAACAATTGGTTAACAAGCTTTAAACTAAGACCTCTATAACTGCATGTACTGTGGAGCAATTCATCTTCAAATTTGTCTCCGCTAGCCCAGCTCACCCTGCTCCCTCCTCCCAGGAGTAAATTGTCAGACTTCTATTCTCTAAGACAAGCAGCACATGCGCTGAGAAGGGAGAGCAAGGAGCAGAAAGGTCCTTTGTTGAAGCACTGCTTCTGCTGTGAGCATTTTAAGGGTGAACTGTGCCACCGTGCTCGCAACTACTGAAGTCAATAGGGCTTACTTCCTGCTTGTGAAGTATATGTAAATACTTGAATGTCCATAGCCCAATAATGGGTTTTAAATAGTTATCATAATGATTTTACTTTTCTGCATTTTTTTCAAGGTTCTATCTGAGCAATATCGGGAGATGGAGCGAGAATTGCTATCTCAAAAAGAGAGTGCACAACAAACCATGATGTACAAAGAAATGCTTCAGGACAAGGATAATGCATACCAAATGTTACAGGAAGAGCTGGATAAAGAAAGGAGTATCAACAGCCAATTACAGTCTCTCAGAGCAGAAGTAAAAAGAGGAATGCAGGCACAAGAAGAACAAGAGCAGATCAAAAAAGAGTTGGAAATGGAAAAAGAAGCTAGGAAACGAATGGAAGAAGCAAGGCAAGAGTTGGATATAAAAGTACAGGATGATATTCAACAGTTCAGAGCTCAGCTGGAGAGAGGTGTTCAGGAGGAACTAGAAACCTTGAGGGCAGAACTAGATAAAGAGAAAAGAGCTCAGCAGGAGCTGGAGCAGCTGAGGTCAGAATTGGAAAAAGAGAAAGGGGCTCAAGAGGAGGAGTTGTCAAAGTTAAGATCGGAGCTGGGAAGGAGTAAAGAAGTCGATGAGGAGGTTCAACAATTAAGAGCAGAACTGGATGACAGGAAAGAATCTCAAGAAGAATTAAGCATGGAGTTGGAAAGGTTAAAAAGTATTAATGACCTGCTAATGGAGAAGGAAAAAGGTGGTCAGCAAGATGCAGACTTATCCACCAATGAAACAGATGATCTTAGTGTTCAGTTAGAAAATGTAAGAAGTGAACTGAAAAATGGCAAAGAAAGTCAGGAAGAGCTGTCGAGACTGAAGGAAGAGCTTGAGAGAGTGAAGGAATCACTGGCTGATTTTGATCAAGTAAAGGATGAACTAGAGAAGGGGCAAGAAACATTACTCAAGTTAGATTTAATGAAGCAGGAATTCCAAAAGTTAAGAGAAGCTGAAATTTTGGTGGGCACAATGCAGCAAGAAATAGACAAACAAAAGCTTGAAACGGTGAAGGAACCTCCACAACAGGTTAGTGGAACAGACACCGATATTCACAGAAATGAATTTACCCAACAGAAGGCAATTATTGATGAAGACAGAGCAGTAAATGTGAAAGAAACAGATGGACAGAATGATGGAGATGTAGCAGTATATGTAAAAGAAACGTTTGAAACACATAGACAAAACTATGCTGAAAGAGATGAAGCAGTAAATCTAAAAGAGGCATTTAAAACAGATGGACAGAATGATACTGATGGAGATGAAGCCTTGAAAGTAAAAGAAGGGTCTGAAACAGATGGACAGAATGATGCTGATGGAGCCGTAAGTGTAAAAGAAGGGTCTGAAACGGGTGGACAAAAGGATACTGATGCAGAAGAAGCCGTAAATGTAAAAGAAGGGTCTGAAACAGGTGGACAAAAGGATACTGATGCAAATGAAGCCGTAACTCTAAAAGAAGGGTCTGAAACAGGTGGACAAAATTATACTGATGAGGATGAAGCCCAAAATGTAAAAAAAGTGTCCGAAACAGATGAACAGAATGATGTACATACTGCTGAAGAATTACCTCAACTGTCAGATGCAAGTTTCAAAACACAGTTCAAGGAAGAATGTTTGGGTAAGACTCTTAGTATACCACTACATAACACTAAAACATTAGAGATTCTGCCTTTTTGCCAGCATCTGAGAGATTCAGAGATTCAGCATCTCTTTAAAGCCCACCCCTTCCAGCTCACTCATACTCGGCACACCTCTGTCACAAACGCCTTAAAATACATGTAATCTCCAATTTGGATGGTGTTGGAGCTCGCACAGGGTTCATGATGTCACCCTCTCCTTAATGTGACAGTTTTCCTGCCTGACGATTTGGCTGTTCAGGCTCGAACACTGCATCGTTGGAGGAGGTCACATGCACTTCAATACCTATAAGTGCTGGATTATTTTGCGACTGCTGCAACAAAGGAAGCAATGGTAGTGGAGTGCTGCGTAGGTGGATATAAATAGGTCAGTGGGTGGACTGGCCAGAACTCAGTCACTTTGCTCTTAATTGAAAAAATAAATTTAATATGTAGCCCCTGTGCTATTACATATTGAACTTTTGGTTTTTGTTCTGAAACCTTTTTCAAAGAAACATTTTAATACATGGTTCCTTATTGTAGTTAACATTGCCATTTTTTTTGCCCATAGAGTGTCTTTAAAGACGGGGGAATTTATCAAAACTGGAGCAGACAAAATCTGGAGCAGTTGTGCACAGCAACCAATCAGCGTCTCTCTTCAGTTTGTTCAGTTATGATGTGAAAGGGAGAGGCTGATTGGTTGCTGTGCACAACTGCTCCAGATTTTGTCTGCTCCAGTTTTGATAAATTCCCCTCAACGTATTTTATTTAACCTCCCTGGCGGTATGATTTTAAAATTTTTTTTCATGTAATTTTTCGGTCTATTGTTTTTCGAATTTTTTTCGTCTGTCGTTTTTTTTAGTTTTTTTTTAAAATATCCCGCCGGTTCCGCCCCCCCTGTGATGCGTACGCTCGCAAGCGACGGAACCCGGAAGCCGACATCGGCCGCAGAACACAGCGCGGCTCGAGGGACAAGGTAAGTAAATGTTATGTGGCTTTCCCGAGTGAAGCTCGGGGTTACCGCTTATGGTATGGAAAAGTAACCCCGAGCTACACTCGGGAATACCGCCATGCAGGTTAAAGTAAGTTCAGATTTTGAATTATTATTGTAACATAATTAAAACTTTAAAAATATAAGAACAGTAGTGCTATCATACCTAACAAAAGAAGTAATAATAAATATATGTGGTATAAACCAACACTGTGCAATTAAACGTATACACTTATAGCACGAATGGTGAATAAATTATACATACCATATATAAATTAGTCAAATCTTTTAAAGTGCAAATAAACTTTTCATAAAGTGCTATAGTCTAAAGTTTATGAAAAGAGCTTTACACAATTGTGCAAATAAAGTTTCTTTTCATAGTGCAAAAAAAATCTTTCAAAGTGCGGATAGTTCCTTTAGCAAACAAAGTGCAGCAGTGATCCAAAATTCACCCTTCAGTGATCACTCTTACCATTGTTGGACTCAAACTCACCCTCTGTGCTGGACCTATTATACAAACGCTTCAGTACTTAAAGGAATGTATCATCACATGATCCAAATTGAATTTAAAACTCCATCATCTTAGCACCTCATAAGGCAAATACACAAAACAAGGCCACAGTGCTCTCCATTTTAAAAGCTTTTAATATACACACACAGAACTATATGGTGAACTATAACCATGCACGTGAAGATTGATCAGCATGAATTAGCAGCAATGTGAACAACACTGTGGGGGTTATTCACTAAGCTGCCGAAGGCAACCGAATGAATAACCGAAGTGAAGTGAGCTAAAGTCTCTTCGGCTATTCACTGCAGTCTGAGGTATAGCGAACAGAATGGAAAATGTCAGTGTAAAAAGAATTTTAAAAAACCCGGCGTGAGGTCCCCGTTCCAAATCATACCGGACCCTTTAGGTCTGGTAGGAATGTTAGGGGGACCCTAGATGTAAAAAAAAAGATACATAGGGTTAACCTACAAAATCATACCAAACCCCAACGCCAAAAAAAGAAAAAAAATGTGGGGTCCCCCCTGAAATCCCATAGCAGACCCTTAATCCAAGGACTGGCAGGGCAGGAAATGGGGGATCACCTCTCCCTGCACCATACCAGGCCACATTGGGAGGGTGCTTTTCCAGGGGGGACCCCCTGAAAAAGCACCTTGTCCCAATGCTGATGAGTACAAGGGCCTCTTCCCCACAACCCTGGCCCGGTGGTTGTGGGGGTCTGTAGGCAGGGGGGCTCATCTGCATCTGGGTACTCGGATGCCGCAAACCTCCCCCTTGCGAATGAGTATTAGGTAGTTGTTATCCCTACTCATTCACCAAAGTGAACTTCAGTTAAGTAAAAAGTAAATAAAAACAGCACACTGTAAAAAAAATACTTTAATTGAACAAAAAACAAAAGTCCGTTTTTGACAAGTCCTTTTATGGGCAACTCACTCCACCCATTTGTTTTCATGCCATGACAGCTCGCTGTCCTCTAATGGCATGTAGACAAATTGGGGGTGCAAATCCTGTGACGTCCATATGTTTTCATGGCGGTTCTGGGGAACAGTGTAAATGCTGGCTGCAGACAGTCCCAAACCTAAACAGTAGATGTTTTGTCTTGGTGTGAAAGTAGATATGTATACTATACTATTGTGATTCTAAGGCAAGATCACCATGGCTGTGTCTTAGAACTTAAAAAGATCCTTGCATAAGGAGCTCATGCTGTACAATTCTTTTTTAGGGTTTAGTCCATCCATCTCGAACTATGCTTTCTTTTCTGTTTTATTGCGATTCAAGACACCAAGTATATTTATAAATAGTGAAATGTTCCTTATGTCATAACTGAAAAAATATTTATTGTTTCTAGATACTCACATGCTGTTACCTCTGGAAGATCATGTGGAATTAGTACATTTCCAATCGGAGCAGGTACAAAATGTAAAACACTTGTATTACTGTACCATTTTCTCATTACCTATGTCTGTCTAGTTATGTTTGAATTGTGAGAGCCTGCATACAGTTGCCTATCCGTTACATCCAGAAACGCTATTTGCCTCTATATTTTTTCATGTTAGATGTAGAGATTAATAATCACTTTAACGGATGATGCACTTATCCATCCACACATCTATCTCTATATTGGCTTAAAACTTGCCTTTCATGTAAGCCAAAATCTTTGAAAATGTTTTCATTAATATCTTGAGTCTATTGCTTATCCAGCTGTCATCTCTTTTCTATTTAGCTGTCTAGTCTGTATGTCCAATAAATCTATTTACTATTGTAAGCTTTAAAAGTTCCTCCACTCCTTGGATGAACTATGATAAATACGTGTTCCCTAATACCATCCCAACATGTTTAAGGGGAATGCTAAGTGTTTGTGCAAAATTTCTAAAAGAACACATGTTATGGCTACTGCCTGTCTGATTGTGCTCATTTATACCCTGTGCATCCCAACATTATAGTGCCATTATAAATACGGAAGATGATGTTACCTTATTTATATATACCCTCTAATACAGGGCTCAAAATTTCCACTCGCCCCCTCGCAATTGGCGAGTGAAAATTGCGTGGGGGCGAGTGGAAATCCAGGGGGGGGAACTTCCGCCGCTTCGGCAGCGCCGATCGCTGTCTGTTTCCTCCACCCGCTTCTTGGAGATTCCAAGTCTAAAAATCATATATATACAATCATATTCAACTGTCAAATACTAGCATGTTAAATGTGGATTTTCCCCTAGTCATAAAGACCGGCTGGGCCAGTTGAGGTCCCAGTGAAGAAGCATGGGACCACTGCCAATATCCCCTTCAATATTTAGATTTTTCTTTCAAACAATATACTAATTTTATCCATTGAACAATAAATATTTACATTTATTTCTGAACTTATTGTTTACATTTTTGCTGTACATTACTCAGTGTTAAACAGATTATTAATAGTTATCATACGTGTGATTTCAAAGTATTATGAAAGTATGTAAAAGTGGATGTTTTTTAAATGGATGCTGCGGTGCATTTGGCAATAAATATTTGGGAGTTCGATTTTTGCTTTGTATGTACAGTGTAGCAGGAGGCATAACTTGCTTTTCTTGTTCTATACACTACAGTTCGGAGCTGGTGCCCAATTTGTTGGAGCAAAAAAGATGCTGATTAAAACAATCAAAAGAAGTGTTACACAAGTGCATTCTTATGTAGACTTTGAGGTCCAGAGCCTTGGTGCCTAGCCTGCAGCCTGGGGCACTTTTTACGAGGCAGATGAGGACCCTGCCTACAGTAATCCTTACCTACTTTCTTACTGAGAATAGCTCAGAACAGTGAAGGAAAAAAAACAACATTCTTTAGACTGAGTTCTAGTAGTTAAAAGGTGTTGTTTTTTTTTTCCACTAACTTGCATTTCAGTGCTGTCCAATGGATCTTGCTGAGAGAAATATCAAATGTGGCACAATTCACTTGTAAGCAGCAAAAATGTGGAAGCGTAAACTTGTAACAGGGCTGTAATAGCATTGATCTCTAGCAGTCTCATGTAATGTGTCTCCAGACTATTACTATCTTCTAAAGCAGGGGCGCCCACTATTTTTCGTCTGGAGATTTACTTTTCAAATGACGAGCTCATTGAGAAAGGGTAGAGCAGCGGGAGGAGAGGACATGGCAATCTACCTGTGATCGCTACGCGATCGACTGGTAGATCGCGGTCGACCTTGTGGGCACCCCTGTTCTAAAGCATGTCTGCAGTCTTCAACAACTCCTATAGCATCTTAACATCTCCTGCAGCAGGTCTGCACTCTCTGACCATCTCCTGTTGCATGTCTGTAGTCTGATTACTTTCTGTTGCTTTATAATCACTATATTATGTCTGATCAATTGGTGATTTCATGGCCTCCACTTGAGGCCCCCTATAGCAGGAAAAATGACCACCACTAATTTAGAGTAATGCAGAAACATATTTATAATCAGGTAGAACAATCTTCTTGACTAGTTGGAAATTCATCATTTTAAAACAACACCCAGGGGGAAAATCTGATCCATTTAATAATTAAAATGTACAAAACAGACCTATCTTGTGGTCTTTACCTTATATTATATTATACATTGATATTTTATGCTTTATATTTGATATATTTGGCACTTGATATTATAATGCAAACAGTGAGTTGCTCGAAAGAGTTATTGTTCGCTCTCCAATAACAATTGCACCTTTGCCTATTTTAGATGCTGCACTCGTCCATCGTGGAAGTTCAGTCACATTCTGTATCCCAGGAGCTAGTTGTTGATGTTGCAGTGGAAGACCTAAAGGAAAAGCAGCTGTCCATACTAATGTTGGACTTAGTGGACACTCAAGAAGAAATAAATAGGTTAAAAGGACAACTGAACGTGGAACAAGAGTCTTTTTCTAGTCGTACTACCTTAGTAACGCAATTAACAGAGAATTTAGAGGAAGTCAGAAATTTGGAGGAATGCAGCGATTCTGACATCCAGTCACTAAAAGAGCAGGTGAAAGAGCTAAAATTCCACTTGGAGGTTGTGACTTCGGAGAAGAATGCTTTAACTTTAAAGCTTCAAGATCTGGTACAAGAGCAGAGGCACGTGGAAAGGTTAGAATCCTCGGAGTTACAAAATAAGCATTTGCCTGACTACGAAAGTCAAAATATACTGGCAGAACAAGTAAACAGTTTAGAAAATGAGTCAAAGTCCAAAGATATAAAGATTACTGCAGTACAGAAAGACCTTGATGATATGAATCTGCTGCTTTCAGAGCAGAATACTATTTCCAAGTTGCAGGAAAACCAGTTGGAAGAGAACAAGAAAAACGCTGAGAGGCTAAAGGAACTGCTAAATCTTAGCCAAAGTAAAGAAGAAAGATTGTCTGAGGCACTTGCAGCTAATGAACGTGACATAGTTGCTCTTCAAGACCAACTTTCTCAAAAGACTGCCGAGATGGAAATCCTACAACATTCATTCGCAGAAAAGGAACAGCAGGTTTCAGAAGTGAGCCATAGCTTTTCTGATAAGGTGGTTCTTCTAAACGAAGAAAAGTTTTCCTTGGTTAAGGAGATAAAAGCCCTTAAAGAACAGTTAAAGACCGTTGTCCAACAAAGTGGAAAAGAGGAAGAATCCCTGGAGAACCTAAGAATAGACAATGCAGAGCTAAATCTTCAAAAAGAAATGATTACTCAGGAGAAGTCTGATCTTCAGGAGATATTGAAATCCACTCAGACAGAACTTGGTGAGGTAAAAACTCAGCTGGAAGATGTATCCTCTAGGTACATGCACAGCCAAGAAATCTTCAAGACCGTTCAAGAGGAGAGTGAAATGTTGCACGTGCAAATGGAAGACCAGAGGAGTGGATTCTTGTTTAAACAGAAGGAACTTGAGGAATTGCAGATCCAAGTTGAAAACCATAAACATACCTATGAAAAGGAACTGCAGCTCTTGACTGAAAAACACCAGAGTAGCTTGAATGACATTAGTTGCTTACAAGAAGAAAAACGTGATTTAGAACATCAGCTGAAATATTATATAAACAGACTTCCTGAAGATGATGGTGAAGCGGGATTAAAAGAAAAAGAGGAATTGCAAATTCAAGTAGAAAATCGGAAGAAGGAGGTTGAGCAGCTCAAAAGAAAGTTGCAGGCAGCGCTAGTAAGCAGAAAGGAATTGACTAAGAAAGTATCAAAATTGGAAGAAGCTTTGGTGAAACATTCAACTGATAAAGGTTTGGATCCTGAAGTGATATTAGCTATACAAAACAGTAACCTAAAATCTGAACAGGAAGTGGTATCCAAAGACATAACTGGTGAGTTTCTTAAAAGACAACAAGTTAGTCTTGGATCTGAACTAGAACACGTAAGGAGAGAGCTAAATGAAAAAAGTGCAGCTAATGAACAGCTTCAGATTTTGACTGATGAATTAAAAGATAAATCCAGACATGTTGAATCTTTAGCCATTGAACCAATAGAAGGAATTGCATCTGAAAAGTCAGATAGTCCATCCAGTCCATTAAATACAGAAGAGAATGCCAATATGGTATTGCAGTTGGAAAATAGAATAATGCAACTTGAGCAAGACAAGGAGAACCTGCACAAAAAAGTCCAAGAGGCTCTGAACTCTCGCAGGGACACTATTAAAAAGGCACAAGAGAAAGATCGCCACCATCGTGAACAGCTAAAGCAACAAAAAGAAGAGTTTAATCTCTTGCAAGAAAAGCTTGAAAAGTTACAGAAGGACCAAAAATCAGTTCCAGATACTGACAGAATACTTGAGGAACGAGCAATGCAAACAGAAATTCCTTATTCAGTAGAAAAGCAGAGCAATGACTCTTCTCATAGAGCAGAGTGCTTAATACCTGTGAATGCCTCACAGGATAGTTCTGACAAATCTAACTGGAGAGAGGAATGGGTAGACTTTTTACCAGAAAAGATTGAAGACACCTTGGTTCACAAATCTCCTTCTACAGATATGTCACTGGACAGTTGCAAAATACAGCTGGATCTCCTTCAGTCTCAGAAAAATGAATTGCAGTTAAAAGCCTTGCAGTTGGAAGAAAACCTTGATGAACGCTTGGTGGAGGTTTCACATCTACGTGATACTATAGAGTATTTGACTACACAGCTACAACAAGAAAAAGACAAGTGCCAGGGTCTAGAAACACAAGCTTCTGTTTTGAAAGCAGAGATAGAAAAAAACAAACAAGAAATGTCTCATCTTCAAGAATTCACAATAAAGAGCATGAAAGATGAAATGATTTATAAAGGAGAAGAAGTTAGACAACTTCACCAAGAGCTAGAAGAAAGAAATATAGATGTTAAGAATGCCAATGAGCTTATTTCAGAAAAAGATTGCATAATTTTGTCTCTAAAATCTCAGATGGAGTTTCAAACCAAAGATTATGAGGAACGCTGCAAAAAACTTGAAGTAAAGGTTCAAGAAGTACAACAGAAACAAGATAATGATGATGTCGAGGGAGAAAAAGGCAAACAGCAACTTCAGCGAAAGCTTCAGGCTGCATTGATCTCCAGAAAAGATGCACTTAAAGAAAGTAAGGCTTTGAAGTTGGAGCTGGAGACTATGAGAGCTCAAAAGCAAGATTCAGCTAATAGACTACAAGTTGCAGAAGGTTTAACAAGTGAACTGAACCTTGAAAAAGAAACTTTACTGAATGCCTTATCTGCCCAGAAAGAAGAACGAGATAAACTAATAATGGAAATAGATAAATGTTTATTGGAAAACCAAAACCTTGAAGCGTCATGTGAAAGCCTAAAGTTAGCTTTGGTAGGAATTACACAAGACAAAGAAGACTTGAATAAAGACTTGGGATCTTTAAAAATGTCACATGACTCAAAGAAATCTGAATGGCAAGACAAGATGTCTGACCTTCAAAAAGAGTATGAGACGTTGCTGCAGTCATATGAGAATGTCAGTGATGAAACTGACAGAATGAAACGTGCAGTGGAAATGGTGAAACAAGAGAAGCAAGAATTGTTTACTAAAATGAAAAGTATTGAGGGTAAAAAAAAAGAAGTAGAGAACGAGCTGGAAGAGTCGCAAATGGAGATAGAAAATATGAAGGAAAAAATGAGGAAGTTTGCTAAATCAAAGCAGCAAAAAATCCTTGAACTTGAAGAAGAAAATGATAGATTGAGAGGAGAATTGCATCAGTCAACAGAGGTGCAGAAATCTGGTCATTTACAGGAAGATGATGCAATGGTTAAAGGAGAACTAACGAGAGTCCAAACAGAAAACAATGTCCTAATATTAGAACTGGAACAGGTCAAGTCTGAAAAGGAAAATTTGACAAGAGAATCTGACGCATTAAAGCTCCAACTGCACAGCGTTGAATTAGACTTGCAAAAAGTTCTAGAAGAACGTAGCACTGAGATACTAGAAAAGGAAGTTCTCCACAAATCTGAAGCTATTGAACTAACACATTCAGTACCTGAACACAGTGATAAGCTAGTTGTTGGTGAAAGAGTGGCTACTTTAGAACTGCTTACAGAGAATGATGAAAAACAAAAAACTGAGAAGATTTCACAGCTTGAAGAAGTTATTGAAAAGTTAGAAAATGATATGAAGGCAAAAGAAAATGAAACTGAGAAAATGAACAAAATTATAAATGCTTTTCAGGAAGAGAAACTAGGATTGGACGCTCTGTTAAGCAGTTCACAAGATGTCATAACTAATATAGAAAAAGACCTTGCAGACCTGAAAAATAAATATCAAACAGCTGTTCATGACCTAGATGAAGCAAATAATCAGAAGCAAGCCTTGGAAATTGATAAAGATGAATTGGAAGAGAGGTTGATGAACCAAATGGCTGAGCTCAATGGAAGCATTGGAAACTTCCAGCAAGATGCTTTGGACCTACAGTTTAAAAATGAAAGTTTGCAGCAAAAGTTGGAAGACCTTCAACTCCAACTAGAAGAGGAAAGAAGACAGATGGAGAGACAGAAAGCTGAAGCCTTGTCTGGGGTTCACAAAGAATATGTGGAAAAGTTAAAATCGGTACATGAAGGTGAAAAAGGCAGGAAGACCCAGTCAAAGGAGCTACAGGAATTGCTCAAGGAAAAGCAGCAAGAAGTAAGACACCTACAAAAAGACTGCATACAATATCAAGAAACAATAAGCCAGTTAGAAAGAACATTTAAGGCCCTGGAATTTGTACATGGCGAGTGTGAGAAAGAAAAAGTTGCCTCCAGTGATAGAGTAGCAAAAGCTGTGGCAGACACAAAGAAGGCCCAGGCTGATCTAACATCTCTTCATGTCTTACTTGATGACACTCAGAGTGAAGCTGCTAGAGTTTTGGCTGAAAATGTAAAAATCAAGAAGGAAATACAAATAGTTAGAGAGGACGTCACACTTATTTTAACAAGGAAGGAAGAAGATACGAAAAATAAACTTGAAGAGGAGAGAGCGAAAAATCTAAAAGAAATAGTGAACTTGCAGGCTAAGATAAGTTTGCTTCAGCACGACAAAGTACAGCTTGAAGGATCCCTTAAAAATCTACAGGACCATTTGGAAGAGAAGAGCCAACAAATGAGGGATATACAAGGAAATCTGAATCAAAACATAGCAAAGCTTGCAGCTTTCACTCGTAGCATGTGTTCTTTGCAAGATGACAGAGATCGTGTTATAGAAGAGTCCAAAAAGTGGAATGGGAAATTCAATGATGAATTACAGAAAAAGGATGATGAGATACGTGTTAAAGAGAAAATATGCATGGATCTTAAAAATGAACTTCTGCAAGTCACTTCTCAAGTTGATGAACTTAAGGCTCATGTAAGCAGGTAAGAGCTAACAAAAGTGGTTGTTGACAGTTAACTGGACTTTCTTTTGTTTGTATCTATAAATAACCCTGTCTATTTCATTCACGTCTCACATTTAGGCCTCATTTTGTCTTTCTTTATTTAAGGGTACAGTTGGAGAATGAAGAACTTGTTACAGCTGGGCAGATTGAGACAGAGAGCCTTGCTAAAGCAAGAGATTCTCTACTGGAGGAAAAGGCAATTCTTTCTTCCTGTCTGCAAGAAGAACAGAAGATGCACTGTGCCTGCCAGGAGGAGCTGAACCTGCGCAGCCAGGAAGCAAAGGATAGGCTGAGCCAACTAGAGAGTCTGAACATAGAAGTGACACAGCTTAAGAATGAAAAGGAGAATCTACTGGATACAATACAAACGTTAGAGGCAGAAGTTCAGGACTTGAAGTTGCACAATGAACAGACCCAAAGTGACTTGCAGGCCTCCAAATCTTTAACGGAACAGCTGCATAAAGAGCTGGAACAGAAAGAGCAAGATGTTATGCGGTTGCTAAGTGCCCATGATGAAGCTGTTAGTGCAGCTGTGGGGGAACTAAATGAAATGCATGCAATTCAGTGCAGAGCTCTAGAAGAGAGGCTAGAAGAAGCTGAAAATGATAGAAAACGCATGCAAAGCAACTTAGAAGAACTAAAAACCCGACTAAAAGCCAACCAGGAAGAGGCTAACCAAAGTAAGGCACAGTTGCAGGCTTTTACCAAATCTATGTGCTCTTTGCAGGAAGAGCGAGAACGTGTATTGAATGACTATCAGCAATTGGAGCAACGGCATCTTGATGCAATTCTTGCAAAAGATGGTCTAATTCAGGAGGCAGCAGCAGAAAGCAACAAGCTCCGTGAGGAATTAAGATTCCTCCGAAGCCGCTCTGATGACTTAAATGCACAGAATGCAAAGTTAAATGCTCAGCTGACTCGCTACCGGAAAGACTTAAATGAGGTGATCTCGCTCAAGGATTCACAACTCAAGCAGTTGCTGGGGGAAAAATTACTGGAGATTGAAAAGTTGCGCATTGAACAGAATACCCAGGAGCTGCTACTAAATCATGAAAAGGGACAGATAGATGCTCTACAGCAGGAGTTAGATGAAACCAAGAAAGAAAAACAGAGAAGTCTAGAACAGGTTGATAGTCTGACGCATTGTATCTCAGAGCTACAAACTGAGAATGAGACACTAAGAAATAAGCTTAAACAGGTGGAACAAGAAGCACAAATGCTGAAAGATGAGCTTCTACAAGGACAGAAGGAATTGGAAAGCATAAAAGAAGAAGCACTGCGCATACAAGCAGATGCTGAAAAGCGGATGCAGCATGCAGAAGATGAGTTGAATAAGAAGCTCCAGAGCATACAGCATGATACTGGCATATTGCGTAATGAGACAGAGACAGCAGAAGAAAGAGTAGCAGAACTAGCAAGAGATCTCTTGGAGGCAGAGCAGAGGCTGCTAAATGCGAATGAAGAAAACTCCTCTCTTAAAGCTCAGATACAAGCATTTGGAGGATCCATGAGATCTTTGCAGGACAGTCATGATATTGCTCAGGAAGAAATTAAAAACTTGCAGAACCAACTGAAAGAAGTACTTGCCTTTAATGAAGATCTTGGCTTGGTACAAACAGAAAGAGATAACCTTAATGTCATGTTATCCGAAAGCAAAGAGGAACAACAACGCATACAAATTCAGCTGAAAGAGCTTGTGTCCAACTCACAGGTGCGAGAGGAGGAACTTCGTAGGGTGACCGCTGACTTTCAGGCTTCACAGATGCAGCTTCGCAATTTGTCCAAAGCCATGGGAAGCCTGCAAGAGGATCGTGATAGATTGCAAAGCAGCTTGAAGACCCCACCTAGGGAGATAGAGAGGACTTTGCAGAGTTCATACCAAAGAGACAGCAAGGTATTATAACATTTTTTTGTCTTTGTTGTCAAGTAATAAAATTGTCCTCATGTTTAGATGTAAAATATGTAAATTGTGTGTTCTATAATCACAAATATCAATGTGTCCTTTTTAGAACTCCAGTGATCATCCCAATAGTTCACTACTGGAAAACCTTCAGAGCACACAGGCAGAAATGCAGAATCTACGCACTGAACTCGGTGATACTATTGCTCAAGTACACCAAAAAGAGCTGAGGATAGAACAGCTCAATGTTAAGGTCAGTGGTGAAGCACTGGGACATAATCCGGAATATACTGGTGTATTATTATTTTTTTCCAGTAGCCTGCTAATAACTCAACAAATCTCATGAGACTAGCTCCAACATTTCAAGGCTACTTTGTTCTGCTCAACCATTTCAGCACGACCGAGTTCTGGTTTAAGAAATCATTTGAAAGTAAGGTGTAGAGTAATCTGTGGTCTGTATCAAAGGGCTACAGAGAATACAAAAGGTATCTTTCTTGAAAGTGTGAGTTCCGAGGATTATTATTTGAAATATCTGTAGTTTCCATGCTCTGGATGTGCCACTGTATTCAGCAGCTGCTTCAAGATTGAACCGTGTTTGCACCGACATGCCTCCATCTTTGTTTTCATGCACAGTGCATGTAGTGTGTGTTACTTAGTGCTCAAGGTATATTTTCCTGCCATCTCCCAGACCAGTGCCTTCAGCCAGACAGCTTGACAGGAGACAATTCTTAGACCAACATTGATCTAGTAAAATGTAATGTTTAAACTTGATATTTAAAATAAAAATAATACTTCAGTTGCAATGCAAGGCATTCTTTAGATGATATTTAATTTCAAATTATTGTATCTTTGCAGCTTTCTCAGATATTTGAGGAGAAAAATTATTTATCTCTCCAGCTGCACGAAAGCAACCAAATCCTGGGAGATGCAATGAACCGGTGTTCGTCTCTTGAGCAACAGCTAAATGAAATGCTTCCCAAAAGTTCGGTAAGAATAGTTTTATCTACACCAGTGTTTAATAACGTTGGATATGGCAGAAGCTTTACATAGATATTTTGTTTGTGCTTTGTAGTTGGCTTTTCTTCATTCAAGCACCTTAAAAGTAAATCTCTGTCCATAGTTAAACTTGTGACTTTCTGCAGGAGGCTTTACTGAGTGATTCTGCACCTGGAGCCCCACAGGAAAGGAAGGAGCCCCAAAATGAAGCAGATCAACAACTCATGGAACTTCAGCACAGGTAGGTTTTACATAACTGCTCTGTACCTTGTGACAGTATTAAATAGCTCTACAGCTACCAATGTATACCATATTTGTGATATTCTTGCGGTACCTTTTTATATTATTGTAAGTATATTAAACACTGTTCCTAAAAATTCAACCTGCTGTCATAATAATTAGAGCAATAGGAATATTTAGAAGGCACCTACCAGTTTCTACACAACACCTTTAGGTAGCAGTTCAAGCGCCACATGTTTGTATTATTCAACTTTAGGTTGGCAACCTCCTCCAGTGTGTATATTTATCAACATTTTTTCTTTTTTTAATCCTGAATGATATCTTTTGTTAACTTGAACTTTTTTATGAGGTATTGTGTGCTCCAAAATCTCAAATTATATATTCTATACATGTACAATTTTACCATATCCAAATATTTACAGGTGAAACTCGAATAATTAGAATATCGTGCAAAGTTCATTTATTTCACTAATGCAACTTAAAAGGTGAAACTAATATATGAGATAGACTCATTACATGCAAAGCAAGATAATTCAAGCCGTGATTTGTCATAATTGTGATGATTATGGCTTACAGCTCATGAAAACCCCAAGAACCCCAAATCCACAACCTCAAAAAAGTAGATTATTACATGCAATCAATAAAACAAGGATTGTACATAGAAAAATATCGGACCCCTGAAAAGTACAAGCATGCATATGTACTCAGTACTTGGTTTGGGCCCCTTTTGCAGCACTTACTGCAATTACTTTTGCACGGTATTCTAATTATTCGAGTTTCACCTGTACATTTAATATACACAATAGGTTTGGCTTCCAAGGTCAAAGTAATACCATATGCTCAAAATGTTTTTTCTATGATTACTAGTTTATTCTGGTCTTTTAAAAAGGGTCTTCCGTAATTTTTTTGCTTTTCAGTTTAAATTGGCTAAAACTATTCTAGGTGCATCAGAAAAAAACATTTTAAAAGTCTTACAGGTTGTTTTCTTTAGAAAGCAGCTACGGACTGGGTAAAAAACCTGTCTTGTCGGCATGCTGCAGAGCGGGAACCTTGTTCTCTGTGTGAAGGCAGTGGTCTCCCTGCACATCCCTGCTGAACCAAACCTTTAACTCTGCAATATGTCTCCTGCTAATTGGAGAACACAGGCTTTTTTACTCGGGTTGTGACTGCTTTCTAAAGAAAATAAATAGTGAGTTTTTGCACACCTTTTTTGTTTTGATGGAATATATTTAGTTGATTTAAACTGAAAGTTCAGTTGGGTTTTAACTTGAAAATATGCCTAAAGAGATGAAATTCTAATGATGATAATAACAAACAATACTTTATTCAGATTTGGTTTTGCTGCATCATATGTATTTCAGATGACTTATTTAATTTTTCCTGAGCTTTTGTCATTGAACAATGGCAGGATTTCTCACACTTACAAAGTGTGAGAAATCAAAATCTGCAAAATCTTGAGGCACCCCAGTCTAAAATGTAAAAAACATAAAATACCAGGGTCTGGTGTGGATTTTAAGAGGGACCCCATGCAAATACACAGAAAAAATGGGATTCTCCTTTCACATCAGGAGCCCCCCTTTCACATGAAAATTCCTTACATCAGGAGCCCCCCTTTATATTTGAAGCCCTCTTCTTTCACATTAGAGGCCCCCCACTAGAAGCCTCTTTCATATCAGAAGCCCCGTTTAACAGCCCCCCCTCTTCCCATCACAGTCCTGCTATTACATCAGTAGCTGCAGCATGGCAGAGGGTGGGAGGCAGAGCAGGCTCCAACCTTCTGAATGATCCCACTCTTCCTAGGTTAGCCTCATTTGTTTCCATGGGGCAGCCAGCCTTCCTGTACAATGGAAAAACATGACGCTATGCGAAAATTTAAAGGCACCCAGGCTGAGAAAGGCTGATATAGGGTTCCATTTAGACCAGGTTGGAGTTGAGGTCAAGGGTTAGCTTAAGGTTAAATAAAACCTGTCATAAAAAGAAATATGGAGGTTACCATTGCTGACCTGTCCTTCTGCAAATACTGTTTGCCTGTTTTGTCTTGCTGATCTGATGGTTTCTGTACTCCTCTGAGGCACCTACCTGCAAAGAATAGAAACTAGGAGCTCCGGCCTCTCTAGATTTTTACAGGGCTGCTAATTTGGTAGCAGCCCTGTAATTTCCTGTGCAGGTACTTGAGAGCAGCTCCCAGTGCCTAAAAACAGTGTGCCATCATCGGATGATAAGGGAATTAAATAGTAGAACTGGTTTAGACTTTCATTAAAACCACTTGAATACTTCATACACCGCTAGTTATGGTTTTGGTTTTTTTGTAATCATAAATAGATGGATAATTCCCTTTTGTACCTGTCATTTTAGGTAAATAATATGTCAAATTGGTATTTTTTCTGTTAGCAGATATTTAGTTTAGAAGTCACCTGCCTTTAAAGAAGCAGAAGCACATGAAAATAATGTAATAAATGCATGTATTCCCTGATACAGATTCTGCTGGCTTCAGAGTTGCTCCAAAGGCACGGTTTGGGTATTGCATCAGTTGTCAGCATCAGTGTTGCTAGTTCTTGGCCTGGGGCACTCCATGCAAAAATAACAAGTGAGAGTGTAACTCAGAATAATGCAGACCTCAACCCTAATCCTTAAAATTAACACAACTTGAGCCCCAAAACATAACATTGGGTGAAAACGCCTCTAACCTAATATCTAAAATCAATTAAGCCCTGAAATGCCACACTTACATTTTTAGTAAAAAAAAAAATGTTTCCTTTTTCTGCATAGATATATGGAGCTGAAGCAACAGAGTACTGAACATGAACATGTCAGGTCAGTCTTGGAGCAACAGCTGAGGGAGGAACGCCGAAGAGCAGAGGACAGAATACAGGAACTTGAAGAAAACATGAACAGGTGAGTAACACGGATAATGGAGACCACCTAAAGATTACTGTGAATTAATGGAGCTTGCAAGAGAATGGTGGTCAGGCCAGTAGTATCAAGGTAGTCTTGACAAAGTTATGTTAAGTCTTTTATGTGAAGTTTATAACATCAATGTTTTGACCGACACAGTCCACCTTTTGAGACTGCTTACCAAACATTTGGTACCAGCACACAATCCAGTAAAACATATCTTGGTTCTCCACAAGGTAGCAGTAGTATAGTAAAACAAAAGGTCAGTAGGCACTCTTTAAACAGGTGTAAACTCTTAAAGTGTAGATTTTATTATCTCAATGTTTTCGTGGGTTGCAGCCCACCTTTCTCAAGGCAACCAGTACCAGGCTGACACCCGCCAAAACATCGGTATAATAAAACCTACACTTTAAGCGTTTACTCCTGTTTGAAGACCTCTGAGTGCCTGCTGAACTTTTGCTATACTACTGCTGCCATGCAGAGACCGTGTATGTGTTGCTATAAGTGACATACTTTCTCACATATCTAATCAACAAAGCCCACTGTTTGTGCTGCCTTAGTTTGAAATGAGCCAAATGTTGACGAATGGGGTGAAATAAAAATTTTTGGGGGGTCTTTCTCTTGCAGATTGGGTACGCAAGATTGGTCAGTCCAAGAGGAAAGTGTTGCTCCACATGAGTTGTCATTGCTGATGGAGCCACACGATGCACCAAATGTTAAGGTGAACAAGCAGAATCTACTTTATCGGCTTGATCAGAGAAATGTTTATTACAGCTTTCTGTTACCATTTGTGTATTTGCACTTTGTGATATCATCATACATTCTCCAGCTCTGCTGCCACTGCTTATTTCTCCTTCGAAAAAAGTAGAAATTTCCTGGCTATCCAACAGTTTCATTACTTTGTTGTTGACCTGGAACAAGCATGAGAGCTCCGTAGTTAAAGGAAAGCTGTGAGGATAGACAACAGCCAGTATAGATTTTTTTTTTTAGAAAGGTGCACTCTGTAGCGGCATCTTGCTGGTCCATGCTCCAGGTAGCTAGTAAATCGCTGACCAGGAACAATCAATGCTGTCGGTCAAGTCTAACTTCCTGTGCCTCATAGTAGCTACAGATCATTGACTCACTGAGAAGCACAGCCAGGAACAAGATGACAGTCCTTGAGTCTGCATGCTTGGAAATCAAATAAGCAGTGGGATCTTCTATATTTTGTATCCACACAATTCCCTTTAAAAGGAAAGTAATTAATGGGCTCTGCTTAGATACTGTTGTGCACTCTGAGGATTTGGGAGACAGTGGTATGAGAATGAGACTGCAGATGAGAGGCTCATGGTAAGAAAACCAATGGAGGCAAATATGACTTTTACATGAGTAACACTGCACAGTTTAAATATATTAAGGCTGAGTATTACATTCAGGGTTCATTCTGCTAATTCTTTTATTCCTGATAATCCTGAAACCTTTTTGTTTCTTGCTATAAAAAATCCTCTTTGGTTTCCCTTCCCCATCATGCATGTGCCCAGTACCTCTCTTCAAAAATCTTGTAGTCATTCTTTGACATTTTCCTTTTTTTCAGGCAAGAAGCTCATCGCTGAAAAGACTACTACGACTTGTGTTCTGCTCTCGCACCAAAACACCCCTGCTGGCTTCGTTGTATCTATTACTTATTCATGCACTACTATTGTTGTGTTTAACTGGGCATCTCTGAGAGCATACGCTTTTACCACAAAGGGATGGCATGGGAGTTGAGGAGCACCAACCAGGCCTCATGCTCCTATAATCAGGAATTGGAGCTGAAGCCATGACTAGCGCCAAGAGATTACTATTATCATAGTTGTGTCTTCACGGAAAGTGTGGTATGGCATCATATCTCAGGCTCAGGGCTACACCACTATAAATTCTGAAGAATGATGTCGGCAGCATCACTGGATGCAACATACAGTTTTCTATGACACAGCTATCTAAAAAGTTAGCATGCTTTTAAAATGTTTTCAACTCCTTTAACTGTTGACAAGCATAGACGTCTAGCCCAGTTCACCTTTGTTGCCTTTTCCACAACTCGTAAACTCTCTTTATTCCCTGTATGATCTCAGAAATGATGTTTAATCTGCAGGATGTTGTGTCCTCTCTTTGATTGTGCTGGATGTTGTGTCCTCTCCTTGATTGTGCTAAATTAGGAGGGAGAAGTTGTGTAAACCTGTAAATAATCTGTTAATGAGAATGTTGCATATTTATATATTAGCAGTTACTGTTTTTTTTTCCATTTTGAAAGAGCCTGTTGGGAGAGCTTGTATTTATTATCACTAATGCACATTTTATTGTGTGCATTTGCAATCTTTCATTCCTGTCTGTGTATGTATTTGCCTATAAATACAGTTTTTTTTGTTTTTTTTTGCATATGAGTAATTTGCACAGACTTTTACATATCCTCATGACTTTCTGCATCAGGCACTTACAGTTCCATATAGATAACAAAGCCCAGTGAACGTGTGATTGCACACATCTTTTGATTATCTGGTAATATGCACACAACAATTATCACAACTAATTGGATTATATTGGCTTTCAGGAAGCTGCCCATCCACTATACAGATTGATTATAAAATCTTTGTACGAGCTCCTAAAAACATGTAATATGAGAAAAAGTCTAAGCAATCCCATTAATCTGTATGAAATCAGGCAGGCCCTTGCATTACACAGTTGGAGCTAAAGGAAATTGTACAAATAGATTGTATAGTATATGGGCAGCTTCAGAGACATGGACATTGGGCTTAATCCTTTAAATGGGGGGAAAGAAAGGAATACTGTATGAGACAGAGCTTGAGATTTTTTTAAAGTGATTTAATAGTTTTCATGATAAAGTAATCCTAATGATTCTTTAAAAATCAGCTTTTACACAAGAGGGGAAACTGAGCAGGAAACTTACACACTGCTGTAGAAATGTGTGGGGGCTTTGTGTGAATCCAGTTCGCCCAAGTCCGTGCAATACGGAGACTGATACACCCCTCTCCTGGACAAATAATTTTCGATAGGGGCATTCACAGCCCCTTTGTGATGTCGGTTGGGGAATGCCCCCGCTGCAACAGATTGGGCTCTGAGGGGGTAAGGGGCTGAGGGTCACAGTTTTGAGTGGGCTTGGGTAAACTCCTATGAACTGGGTTCACATCAAGTCCCCGTATTTTACTGGTGAGGGGGGGAGCAGATGGTCCCAGCATAGATATGGATTTAACACTCCTAGTAGTACCGAAATATTCAAAGGAAGGGTTTTGTCTGATGAAGTGTGCCAAGGCTATTGGGCTGATTGGGGATTGTTTGATAAGATTTACTGTACACCAATGCTGTTTGCACCATGATATCTAATGCATGATTTTATGTACAGTGTATATATACATATATAATGTGCCTGGTCTTGTTTGCTGATGTACTGAGGGAAAATGCCTCAATGTTAATTCTATTATACTTCTTGTTTTTTTTAAGTGGTTATTTCTGTTTTTCAAAGTAATCGGTGTTATCTTTTGAGTGTTTGTGTATAATTCTTCAATATGATTTCCCCAGTCTTTACCTGCTTTTATATGATTGATCCATGTGATCAAACACATTCCATGATGACATTTTTTTGAAAGCTGTCACACATTTTTCCCCAGTCTTGTTAGAAAAGCTTTAATTAAGGCCACCAATTAATGTAAAAGGCTATAGTAATAAGGGCATCAGCATTGCACAAATCGCACTGACATCCATAACACTGATTTAAATATCATGTCTGACACATTGAAATAAGCAGCGTGAGTGAACAGAGGGGATTTTAGGTAATTACACACGCAGTACTTTTTAATAATAAGTCAGCTTCCTCAAATATTATTTTTTTCACTATTTTGCAGTGCTGGTCTCCTTATAACCCTGAAGCCAAAATGTAATTGCTAGTTTTGAATTGGAGCCTTGCTGAAAAAGCCACTTGTAGAGCTTTCTTGCTAGATGTTATGGCTGTAATTAATGGTCGCTGTGAAACAGTGTAGTTTAGGGATCAGGTTAAATTTGCAAAGGTAACACACCAGGTTAGGGATTTTTTTTCCAAAGAAGTGTCAGTCCAGTCAGATTTAAAAAATAGTCACTTGGCTAAAATAAAACTGCTAATCCATGTGTTAAAGCTTTATGAATTGAGCCTATTGTGCCCCAATCTCTATCCACAAAGATTAAAGGTTATGGCTTACCAGGACATTCTGAAAACCTATTGGAAATTAAAGACAGCGTTTATGTCCCTTTGACTTGTAAGCATTGTATTGCCTATAAAACTGACGGCTAGCATAACGCAGATGTACAGAGGCAGCTGGTTGTACAATGAGTACAGACTGGCAGCCAAAGTGTAGCCAGCCTGCCCAAGCCATACTGGTAATTCTTGTTTCCAGACAGTTTTCCTATCTGCCTAAAGCATTGTCGAAGGGCCAAGACAGCACTGATGGTAAAAATGTCCAGTGAGAGTCTTTCAAAAGCATGTCTCAAATGCACTGTAGCTGGTAAAGTGATAGCCTCTTGTTATACCATGCCATGAATAGATTATTTTTCACCTGTAATTCATATATAAACAGTGGGATTGATTTATGAAAAATGCATTTAAAAATAGAGCAATGGGTCCTTTTTCTCCTAAGATCCAATCATTTGGGTTTGATTGTGCTCATCTTTAATTCTGAATAATAAAAGGATGAACCTGCCTGGTCTTTGTAGGAAATCACACTCTCCTTTTTCTCCAGTTTTCATAAATTAGCCAAAGTGTATGCATTTGTATAGCCATTCTGTTATGTAAGGAACACGTCTTCTCTCCTGATTAGAAACTGCGACAGACCAGGTTTCTGATTACCTCTGTGATGACAGGGAAATGTTGATAAACATTTTAATTACAAATAAAAGTATTTTTTTTAATTAACTGGATTGATTGTCCTAACTTTTTTCCATTCCAACCAATATGTACATTAATGCATGGAAAGCATGTTAGGCCTTGCTAACTACATTGGGGAAAAAAAGTATTTAGTCAGCCACCAATTGTGCAAGTTCTCCCACTTAAAAAGATGAGAGAGGCCTGTAATTGGCATCATAGGTAGACCTCAACTATGAGAGACAAAATGAGAAAACAAATCCAGACAAAGACCTCTGTCATTGCCAACAAAGTATATATAACAAACTATTGAGATGACCTTTTGATATTGATCAAATACTTATTTTCCACCATAATTTGCAAATAAATTAGTTCCAAATCAGCCAATGTGATTTTGTCTGGATTTGTTTTCTCATTTTGTCTCTCATAGTTGAGGTCTACCTATGATGCCAATTACAGGCCTCTCTCATCTTTTTATGTGGGAGAACTTGCACAATTGGTGGCTGACTAAATACTTTTTTGCCCAACTGTAACAGGGTTATTCACAAAAGGGTGAAGAGTTTGGAGAAGGCAGGAGAAGTGAACAATCTAGGACAGCATTGCTGAGCAGGAAAGTGAGCTGAATTGGAGAATTTTTCCAAATCGGCTATTTTGTCCTAGATTGTTCACTTCTCCTGCCTTCTCCAAACTATTCACCCTTTTAGTGAATAGCCCTGTAAATGTATGAGCTGACTTTGGATACATAAACAAAGTGAATGTCTAGTATACTGTTAGTCAGCCCACTGCGTGCTTAATAGCCCTAGCTCCAGGGAAATGTCTAATAGGTGGAGCTGACCTGGCTATTCCATGAAAAGTTCACTTAATATTTTGTCTATGGTCAATGAATTTGCACTGAGCCCTTGAATAGCTTAGAAGCTGTAGTCAACAATAATTTCCTGGTTCCCTGCAAACATCTCTCTCAACTATCTCAATGGTTCCAGGCCGGAAGGGTAACAGCTGGCTTTGTCTTAGTACTGACCTTCCTGGAGCTTGCATGCACAATTTGTATGCTTACCCTAATATCAGGCTCTATATTACAGGAAACAGGAATACAGAAAAAATACAGGAAGCAACTGTATTTTTTCCTGGTTGATCTGTGGCCAGCCACTTCCTGCTCTTCCCCCATCTACTGGCTTGTAATAAGGCAAGGAGACCAGGAAGAGGTTTGATCCTTTTCTCCTCTGATTATAGTGCTTACTTTTAAGGATCAGTGGGACTCTGTGTAAAAAAAAAAAAAAAGAACAATCATTATCTATTGACCTCTATTACTGATCTGTATCCCCGTTACAGTTTGAGAGTAATAAAGGCACATACTGATGAAGGCAGAAATGACAGGGTAGCTGTATGATCTCCTGCTTTAACCGCCCATGTGAATGAAGCCTAAAAGTCCTGCTTAAGAGTACATGCAACAACCAGGGTCATGCCATGATGGCACTAGCAGTGAATCAAATGGTATCAAGCCTCAAAATGTACTAATTGCTATTATCTATTGCTTGAGTTTGTTCCCCTCTTCTGGCCACTTCTGAACATTTGTGGCTAAATTGGACAGGTGAACTTTATAGAGTTCTCTTGTCCAACTTAGCAGAGGTTGGCAAATGTTGAAAAGAGTCAGAAGTCTCTCTATAGTTTGGCAAACCTGAAACCATCACTCTTCATTGGCGATCTGTACAGCTGAAAAGTAGTTCTGCATATACAGTAAAGCATGCTGTCCCCAACAGCCCATGTTAGCAGTAGTTTTTACTAAAATACTCAGGTCATAAGGGCTGAGTGTGCTCATAAAGGCATTGTCATTCAGGTATGTCTAGGGCAATGTGTTATTGAAATACAGCCCAACCACAAGATGCCAACTATAAACTTTATCAGCCTGCTCTTTGTGCCAATCTAAAAGCTCAAATCTGGATCTAGAGGATGTCACTGGATCTCTAAACACCAGTTGTTAATATTACCCCCATGTGAACTATACAGACGTGGACAAGTTTCTTAGTACCCTTACAGCTCAATCAGACAGTGCTTCATTCTTTCTGAAAAGTGATACAATAAAAATCAATTGTCCCAACATACCTGCATGCCTTTGGTATATCATAAAGTAAAGCAAAGAAAGTGTGAAAAGAGATACATTATTGCTTGCTCTTTAAAGATATTCTAAAATGACCTGGACAGATTTGTTGGTGCCCCTAGAAAATAAGCCATTGGATCATAATGATATTTCAGACTAACGGTTTTCTATCA